ATAGAAATGTATGTATAGGTATATACATAAGTAAAAGTAAGGATAAAAATAAAAATGGAAATAGAAATATAATAAGAGCCTAAGAGATATAATAAGATAATAAGAGCCTATATACAAAGTAAATGGAAATGGAAACATATTTCACAGTATATGCTGACAGAAATTAAATAAATAGAAATGAGTTTTAAGATTGTGGTGTTGCAGAAGTTATAGAGATCTAGATAAGTGGTGTAACTAATTACTGTTGGCAGGGAGTAATAAGTAAAGTAATATTATTACTTTTAAAAACAGTAAAGAAAAAGATGAGTATGATGCTTTCATTGGTAAGAAATGTTCGACAATAAATCAGTGAGTCAATCTCACCACTGGAGGGCAGCAGCAAACTTCAGATGAGTGTATCCTCCCTCAAAGTCACATGAAGACAAGTGTGGCCTTTACTGTAATCGGAAATATCATGATCACAGAAACATGGCACCAACACAAGTGTTTAAAAATGCAAATGGGATGGAAAATGAATGTAATAAATATATGTTTATTAATTTGGTACTCTAAACAGTGTTGATGCGTTAAGCCCTTTCGCAACTAACAGTCACACACGGGTTATGTTTCACAAATACACCAATTCAAACACATATTAGCTTACTTACTAATACCGTGTTCACAATGCCCAGTAGAGTCGATAACACCAAGCAGCAACCATCAGTGGACTTCCTTTCTCACAATGCTCCTTCAATCAACGCACAAGCCAATTCAGGGGTGCGGAAGATGAAAGGTTTACGAGGTGTCCCTGAAGCCAACACCGGTTATCACTATCACCACCATCCCAGCGAGTCTGTCACATCCCCGCAAGGTGTCACTTCAGGCAGCTAAACCATCGGTTCTACCTTGCGTTTTATTGAACAATTTCCATACACATTTCTGCTCGACCTCTGTGGGCCTTTGGTGTCATGAAGGGAATCAGGTTTTTCGTGATTTTCTTGGTGCTTTCCGCGTCTCTGCTGTGCACAACCGAAGCGGGCAGGAGCAGGACCAGCAACCAGAACAGCTTCCGACGGGCAGCTAATGGCATCTACCAGACTCTGAGCAGTGTTTTCGGAGAGGACAACATTCGTGGGTTGTACAAGGTGTGTGTGGGCACTTGTATTGTCGAGATAACAGCTCGTTTTGGCGGTGCTTTGCAGAAGCGAAAAGCCGTCTGCTTTGTGGTCTGAATGGCGAACAGGAAACAAGAGCGCGGGGCCTGGCCAACACATTTCACGGATGCCATTTTGAAAAATTAAGCCTTTATCTCGTGTTTTATCGTTTATAGAAGATGTCAGGTGGCTTAACGTTGTCGCAAACAATAACGTGAGATGTGTTTTCACCCAACAGCAGCATTTAATTTCTATAATTTGTCCTGTAACCATTAATGTCATTCATTGTCCATCAGGGAGCGCGGTAGTGTCCCCGCACACAGACGGCTCGTAGCCCCATTGGTTCAGGCCGTAACAGCTGTTTTCTTTATGTCGACTTCATGAGGAAACACATTATATACTCTCATTGGTCGAGCTGCACTTCCTGGGTTTTAAAAATCTAATGTTAATTCCTGCTTGTAGCCGCCAAAGCAAACCAAAGTGACCTATGTTGTCCTACACGCGTGGTTATTTACTGTCTGACTGCAGCTTCAGCTCCTTTGAATCAGTGTATGATGAAAGGCTTGGGTCAGCTTTACTGATAACATTCATTAACTCTGTGGGTCCCAGCCTTTTACCTTAAGGGACCCCTCTTCTGTCATTGAGTAAACGGATACCCAACAACTGATACACTGTATGAAGCCAAACGGTGAACACGATAACTGCAGGAAGTTTGATGCATTTTGAGGTGGATTATTTCCTGTGAATGTTGCATCACAGATTCGTTTTTCTGCTTTTTATTTTATTTACAGAAGTTGTTAAACACATTTATTTCTGTCTTTTAACAATAATATATACTTATAGGCTTCTTTTTTTTTGACAAATTCTGTTTTCTTCTCCCTGACACTTTATTCTATTAGCTGTTTATCAGACAGTGAATCTGTGATTATAGCTTGTGTTGAGGTCTTCATAGTTTAAATCTTAAATTATATATATATACGTTTTCTTACATCCCTTACAATTAGGATTGCTTTAACCGATGTCGACTTCAAAGTGTCATAAATTACAGGTGTTTTTTCAGCTATGATAAGGACTAGTTTGTTATTAGTTTTATTTTCTGTCAGTTTCAAAATGAAAAATAGTTGGTTAGTTAATTGGTAAGCAGTTTTTTTATTTATAGTGAAACAGGCCAGAGAGATACATATGGCTTGATGTTGTACATTGTTCAAAAGTCTGTAACATTTCTATCACAAGACCGAAAACTGTTATGTCACTTCCCCAAATCTGTGGTATATTATTCAAATGCAGCTAATTCCATATTGTAGGTTTCAGAAGACAACACAGCATAAGTAGCAGTTAGAGAGATAACGAATAACATATATACATATATTACATCACTGTACCTAAAGACAGCTACTGTGAGTGGCTCTCTTGTTGACAGTAGATTGGAAGATCATGATTATTGATTATTGACATGATTAATTGTATGTAACTATTACACTGTACCATGAGTTCAGTTTCTACAGTTCTAATACATTTTGAACGTGTTATATTAAGAAAATCCAATTTAGCTGAGATGTTAGGCACGATGCAGTCCTGTAAAAAAAAAAAATCCTTTACTATTGGGTTTTCACTCTGGGTTTTTAATTAAAAATGAATAAATTAATTTAATATGACAATTAAACATTCCTTTCTTACTTTCTCTCTTTTTTGGTTCTGTAGTTTTTCTCCAAAACGACAGAGCGCTTTGTCCATGGAGTGGACTCTTTCCTCGACACCCTCTGGAAGATCTGGTCGGATTTGCTGGATGTGATGGGCATCGACTGTAAGTGTTAAATGTATTATTACACTCTAACATAGGCACAAAGAGAGGGATAAATTGCAGAATTTACACTAAGAATGTAGATTATTGTATGTTTTTAATCTACCTCCTCCTCTCTCCTTTCTTCCCTCTGTAGCCTCAAACCTCAGCCACTACTTCAGCCCCACATCTCTCACCAACTCTCCAGCACGCGCTCTTCTCCTGGTTGCAGCTGTACTCTTGGCCTACTGGTTCCTCTCCATGTTCCTGGGAGGTTTCTTCTATCTGCTGCACGCCGTGTTCGGCCGCTTCTTTTGGCTAGCACGTGTCACTCTGTTCGCCCTGTCCTGTCTCTATATCCTCCAGAAGTTTGAGGGTGACCCTGAGCGCGCAGTGCTGCCGCTGTGCTTCATCATGGCGGTGTACTTCATGACGGGCCCTGTGGGAGCGTACTGGCGTCGGGGAGGCGGGGCAGGTTCACTGGAAGAGAAAATTGACCACCTTGACACTCAGATCAGGCTGCTTAACATCAGGCTGAGCCGCGTCATAGACACCCTGGAGCGCCCCAGCGAGCAGTAGGTGGCGATGAGGATGAGGGGGAGGGGGAGGGAGGGGTAATGTAGAACCAGCTGCAGTTGATGTCAGAATGCTATTTCCTGTAAACATCTGCGGCGACACAACTACTGGGTATTTACAACTCTATTGTCAGATGGGGGACGAAACTAGATTTGAAAACAGTATTTTACGTGTTGATATTAGTTACAGAATACCTAAAAAATCCTCAAAAGGTGTGGACAGTTCACTTGGAGCTTACGCAAATCAACCAAACAACAATTTCTTCTTTTATTTTTGTCTCAAGGCTTTGAAAGGTTTTTGCTACATCTGTGAGGAAGTTATCAGAGAGTTGTCCATGATTTCTAAATGCTAGCCTAATTGTACACCTCAGCTGCTTTTGAGAAACTCCCAAGTTGAGGCTTGAATTTTTGGTGTTTCGATAAGCATTTTCAATGCTCGTGCTACATGAATAAGCATATTTTATGTGTCTTTGTTTATTTCTATCCTTGTTAATAACCTGGGGGTTCCGATTCTTGCACAGGTTTGTCCACATTTTTCCCCTTTTTGAAACTTGAAGTAGGAAAGGGGTTGGGTCAATGATGCAGGGGACTGATACATTGTATTTCTAATATGTAAAAATCCTCAAGATGTTGAATAGTCGCTCATAGTAAGATTTATTTATTACATTTTCCATCCAAAATGTTGAAATCATGTAGATCTAGTTTGATTGAAAAATGTTGAAATCATGTAGATCTAGTCCCTGTTCCATAGTGGCAATAGTTTGACATCAGGACCTCTTTTTCATTGTGTTTTTGTGTGTATGGGTGCATGCATCTGGCTCACCTACTCAAATGTGTGTGTGTGTGTGTTTTTCCTCTGGTTGCAGCGCTGATGATCTCCAAAAAGAAAGCAGACCAACGGGGGGACGATCCAAGTTTAGCTATTCTATTTGGAGAGGGGCTATAAATCATTAAAAGGTTCAAAGCCCTAAAATAACATTCGGACAGTTTTGAGAAACCTTTTCTAATTTTTCTTCTCTTTTTGGTTCTAGTAGCTCTCTTTGAGCCCAAAGAACAATCTGGCAAGAAAAAAACAGATCTGTCAGGAAGTAAATGTCAGAACTAATACCGATATCATACTGCTGGAGGAATATATATATACTGCAACCCTATTTTAATAATATTACCCATATGTTTTTTTAAATGAATCAATTGTTAAATGGTGTCACGATTTTACTTACTTACTAAAGAGCCATCTCAAATTAGCAAAGTTATTATTTAAGTCTTGAAAAAACAGATCAAAGAATAAGTAAATAAGACTAAGAATCTAGAAAAAAACAAGTTTCGGTACTTTAATACTCAATAATTTGACAAATTTCAGTCTGGACTAACACATTTTTAAGGTTAAATTCCTAGTCCTATTGAAGGTTACATAACCAAGGGACAGATAATCGTCTTGTCTTTGGTCTTATCTTCTGGTGGATGTAATCCTTAATATTAAAGACATATCTAACTGTCCCTTTTGTCTTGAATGTCCCCTTGAAGATTATTTAATTAAATAAGAAAGAATAGTCAGTTTAGATAACCGTATCTAGATGGTCTAGCTAATGTTTTGCTAACCAGACTAGCCTGTTACCAACCAGGCATTTATCAAACAATTTTGTTTGTGGTTATCCAACAAAAATCTAGGTTGTTTGTTCAAAGTTTTAATGTACCTGAAACGCGACTGCTTTTGTATTAGCAGGATATGTCCGCACTGCCGTTAAAAAGTCTTCAAATGGAGGTTCGATGTGGTTGGATGACATCGATAATGAGACCACAGTTCACATCCGCATCATATCCGCTAAAAACAGTCAGGGCTGGTTTCTTTCTTTCTTTCCTCAGACTTAACAAATCAGAATACTTATAAGCAGCATATGAAGTATAGGTTTGGAAGGGTCGTATGGTTATTGTGGGAAATAATGAAGCATATTTTGTTGTTTAGGTATGAGGACTTGTTGGATCAGTCAGATGCATCTGGTATCAATTCTCCGTGCACAGAAATTAAATTTGCCTCCTCAAACCTGCCAAGACCATACCAACAGCTAGCTGTTCAACCTCAAAGACCACCAACACGGCCAAGAAATGACTGAATTAAAATTCAATTTAATTCTTCATGTAAAATCCTTGTTGACAGGATGTGGAGGTGATGTGACCGAACATCTGCCCCAAAAAAAAATTATATTTCCTCTTTCTTCTCACATCTGTGCCAGAATCATACATAGGCATTCAGCTTAGTTTAACAACACCGCGGAGAGTTACATCAGATCTTGTGTGTTTGCTGAATGTTTTTAGCATGTGTAAGTCTGCGCTTGGCTCGGCGGACTCATTGCCTCCAGAGCCAAGGAAAGGACAAGACATCAGTGTCAACACATTGAGAAAATACTTGGGGGGGAGACAGGGACGAGAATTTAAGAGTGTATTGACGCTTGCTTGGGGGAGATTAAACAAGCACATCCAGTCGAACCCTGGAGCAGTTCGTCCATGGTGTGAAAGGAAATCAGTATTTTGTGATGGTACATATATGATTTTAGTAGAATTTCAAAAGCTAAACTACCGATAAATCTATCTGCTACAATGGAAACTCGAATGTGATCCCACAGTATAAACCCCCGAATCATTACTGTACAGAATTGCATACTTTTAGTCATTATTCATAACATGCTGCGGTTTGCAATCAGTTGTTTCTTTGCGCCAGTAAAGAACATAAATATACACATCAGATGCATTAAAGTGCTGCATAAACTCTTGATTTCCCCAAGTGGATCTTGACAATGCAAGAAACTGTCGCCAAAACCGTCCAATCAACGACTTATCCGTCAATCTGTATATCTTCATGTTTACTCCTCTTGGTTTGTTT